ACCAGAGCGAGAGTGTGGACGCCACCAGCCTATTAGGAGCCCTGACACTGCATAAGTTATTTCTTAATGAATGTACAAGGAACAGCATAAATATTACCATTAAGCAGAGTGGATGTGAACATCCAAAGCAAGCTAGATGGGCTGATTGCTTTCTTCTTATTTTTGTTTTTTTTTTGGGTTCCTTTGTAACAATTCCATTTCCAAAGTGCTTGATTCCTAACACTGATACTCCAAAGCCTCTGTGAACACACTGCCTGAATACTTAATGAAGTCAACAACAAACAAAATGGCTCATCTTTGGTGCCCCCAGCTAGCATCCAAAACTGGATATAATTAAAGGTGTGAACAAGCAAGCAAGGAAGTAATGAACCTGCAAAGACAAGGTTCTGAGAAATTATCGGGCATCCCGCACTGCACCAGTTCAAATTTATCACTCATTATCTCCTACACCGGAAAGGTGCAGATCCACATGTTGGTACCCCTCTCTACTCTTGGGCTCGACCTTTTTTTTCCGCTTTTCATTGCTAAATAGATAATTTAAGGCAATTACTGCTGTGACAACTCCCACCTACCCACAGATTACCCTTAGATAGCCAGTGACCTTTAAAAGCCCTTTACCCTTAAAAGATGCAGAGATTTTCAAAATACAAGGATGTTCCTAACGCACACACATACAAAGACACACACACACACACACACACACACAAACTTGAAAGGCAAAGCACAGGTGCTAACACAGCTTATTTTTACCAATAGTAAAGATTAGGTCTAAATGCCCCCAAAGAAAAACAGCCCTCTTTCTAAAGACACACACACACACACATTTTTTAGCTCACAAATGTTATGATGGTGCACATTTATAGTTTCTCAATGGCAGTTAAAAAGATGTATTTGGTTACTAATGGAAATCTTCAAGGTCTGAATATGTCCTTTTTGATGAATATTTGAACTTTTATATTTTTCTCATAAGACACCTCTTGAGGTTAATGAAAAGAAGCCACTTCTTATGGGGAAACAGCCCAATTTGGTCATCTTTCCAATAAGTAAGCGTGCATAGTGCATACGCATTTGGTAATGCCAAATAAGGAAAGCGTAAGACAGGGGCAAGAACCCAGCAACACACACTCACACCGATACACACACATCTCTCTCCCTCTCTTCCTTACATATACTTTCCACATGCTGTCAAATAGATGAGGGGAATAGACAGTGGGAAATAAAAGGTTGACTTTACTTTCAAAAGGGGAAGTGACCAATTCTGTACAACAGAGCTCATTGACTGGAAAATAGCAAGCTAAAGCTTGCAAATGTTCACATCCCTCCCTACTCCCCAAATTCCCAATGACATTGGGGAGAAATACTGCATTGCAGCATTTGCCAGCGCATACTCATGTGTCTAGCATCCGCTGGCCAGCTCACCAACAAGCGTACATATTAAGTGTCTAGGCATATAAATTAAGCTCTTGGTGGCCACAGATCATTGGAACTGATGAAGAAATTTATCAAGGTCAAAGTACTTCTGTCCATGTACAATGACCTCTGCCAAGACCGCCATTCCTTACTTGCAGTACACACAGATAATTTGTCTTATTTTTTAAATTAAAAATACGGAATTAAGATGTCAAGGACTAAATGAATCAGCATATCTCCTTATGGAAGGAATATTATTGGGTCCACGTATAGGAAGAGAATCCACCTATAAAAAGGAGATAAAAGCAAAGGGAGGAAATCAAGCCAAAGAAAAGGACTTGCCCTGAGAAAACCCTTTCATTGTTCATAGTAACTCTAACTTGAGAAAAACACCTCAATTCATCTAACAAATTATTTTAGAGACATTGAGAACACACACAAAGCACCACTCGTATGATGATTTCTAGACTTGAAATTTTGAACAAATTATTCCTAAGTTTAAAATACCTGAAAGCTAATGTGTCCCAAATCCTATTTCAAGACTGATTTTAGAACCCAAATGCAAAGAACTGGCTAATTCTCTTCCAAATGCAAAGAACTGGCTAATTCTCTTTCTTTTTAAAAAAAAATATTCTATTGTTATTACCTCACAACATTCTGACCTTCCTCTCGTCACACCCTAGTATTCAAAGGACCAAGGAAAGGCGATAGAGAGAGAAAAAAGTTTTAAGCCTGGTGTAAACCATCAAATAGAAGCAAGGCCATCTAGATCTGGCCAGGAAGATGGCTTGAATGAGTGGCAGGTAAAAATGAATGGGCCTGAGATCGCAAATGAATGGTTCAGTTGTGTGTTACTTTTTAAAAATGAGATATGAAAGTCATCCTGTCAATCAATGCTTCTCAAAACATTTTTTCAGCTACCTTTCCACCTGTGTTTATTTTACCCTTTCAAAAATTTAAATATTAAACGATTTAGTCATTTTATTACTATGAGATACGTGGATGTTCTGGTCATTAAGATTGAGATATAGGCAGGTGTTTTTTACAGAAATATTTCCAATCAGATTTTTACTCCTTAATAAGTGCACAGTCAACCCTGTGCTCCCGTAAAGGCACACCTCCACATGCAGGTAGTAGGTATTAATATTTTTAAGACAAAGAAGCGAGAAAGGTCAGCAGAAGAACCACGTGTCTTTTTACAACCCAAACCAAGACGATACTTTTAATGGAAATTATTTTTCCTTAACTAAACATGGCCAGAAAATTCTCAGAAAATTTAAAAAATATATATTAGAGATTTAAAAAATGTTCTCTTTTTAAAGGCAACTTATGTACTCAAGAGATGAGAGCAAGGTTCAAGTGGATGGCAAAAAATAGAAGTTTATTTATCTTTACTCCAAGAGTCAAAGCAAAAATTTTAAATTCTCTAATAAGAAGAAAAAGCAAAAAGACACGTCTTCAAGGAGAAAAAATTCGGGCTGGGGGTGCCTGGAGATTTGCAATGGGGAGAGTAAAAATTAAGAATACTTTCAGTAAAGCCAATTACATTTTCTAATCTCTTAATGTCTTCCGGTATTGTTTAATCTCTCAGTTTTAGACTCCAAAAATTAGTTACCTGATCATGTATCTATTTTGACCCTCAGGAGAAAAACGTAACAGTTCACCATTTCGGTTGTTTTTACGCTACCTCCTATTCACCCAAATACTATACCTCTCAGTCCTTCTGGTAACCACCATCATGAGAAGAAAAGACTATTGGTAAAGCACACTTAGGGAGAGAAAAAAAGAGCGACGCCTGTCACCTAGCACACACATGGGTCCCAGACGTTCAGAGACACTAAAAAACAAAACAAAAAAAAAAAAAAAAATCAGCTTTTCACTCAGTTTATGCCAAGACTAGAATCAGGACCAAATGCCAAATGGAGGGTGCAAGCCTGATGGCTCCTGTGACTGGAGGCATAGGGCTGGAATGGAAGCAAAAGGCTAGAATACAGTTCTTCATTTATTATTCTGTAAAGTAATTTCTAGGTAGGATATAAAATGAGAGATACAGTGAACTCCCCCGAACTACGGTATCAACATCGGATTTAGTAAAATTACTAATATCACCTAACACAAAGTCATTGCTTAGGGTAAATCCATTCTACCTATATTTTCCTGCGAATATTTGCTGGAAATTTCTAAGAAATCATTTGCAGAGCCTATCAGCTGTGAGAGCTCACTATTATGCTTCCGTCAACTTCATTCAATATAATTTACATTTTTTTCAAATGGGCTCACAGGATTCCTTGCGATTTTTCGCACGTACAATTTCACAGCAGGGAAAAGGGGGGGAGGAAAAAAAGCAAGATTCCCTACCCTCCCTTCCCCCTCTCCTTCTTTCTCTGTTTTTAAAACAACAACAACAAAAAAAAAAGAAGAAGAAGAAGAAGAAGGAAGAAAAAAAAAACCAGGGGAGACAGAACAGATGCTTAAAAATAGATTTCTAAAAATCACTGTAAACCAGAGTTAGAAATGTAATTAACACCTATTTATAAAGAATAATTAAAGTTGGGCTGGCCACAAAGAACAGCAAAGATAATCGAGGTCCTGTCCCCCCCTCTTTTTTTTACACTGTTTGCAGTGTGTTCTCATGATAGCCACCTGCTCCCCACTCGGCTTCTCCTCTGTTCGTTTCCCCGGCAACCTTTCATTGGGTTTTCCTCCCAGCTATCGCTTTCAGTTGGGCTGCTCGGTCTAATCTTATTTGTTTTACACCCATCAAAACAAGCAGCCAGACAAAGGCAATCCTCTAAGAATGGGAAAAAGACCACAGCTTTGTTATAACATCTATGCAGAGTGAAAAGTCCTCCCCAGGCTTTTCTAGGGAAAAATAAGTGGGATGGATATGAATTTACAGCCTCCCCCCATAGCCAGCTCTAAAACCCTGTAAAACCTATTGCTGGTGAAAATTCAAAGTCAAAGTGGGCACTCATGGCATCTGATCATGCCATTTTGTGCCGTATCTTCAGGGTCAATATCAGGCGACAGAAGCGGCACTCAAGGAGTTTCCCTGCTTCTTTTTTCAGAAAAAGATGATGCTAAAAATAGATTTACTACTTCGGCAGAAAGGTTTTCCACTTCCCCTTCCACATCCGAAAGTCCTGTTTCACAATTGCATCCGCTGGTACTGAATCTCACCTCCTCCACCCCTCATTCCCAGCCTTCCCCATCACTCCTAGCATGAGACTGAAAAAGAAATGTGCCTTTAACTTTAGCAGTCGTGTAATTCCGTTGAAGGCTCACAGAGGCGGTGGACACGCCAGCCAACAGTGACGGTGACATTGATTGTCAAAAAAGACACCAACCTGCTTGGCTACAGTGTGTTTGATGGAAGAGGCAGTGTGTGTGTCTTGTGTGCATGCAGTGCCATTACACTTGGAGATGGATTCTGGTTTTCAGAAAAGAGAAATACTAATCAACACACACACACACACACAATCAGCACAGTGATTTACGATGCACAGTCCACCGTCCTTACACACACACACACACACACACACACACACACACGGCTGGAACCTCCGAGCTGCCTTCCTCTTTTCACTTACCATCTTCAAGCCATTCCACTCCATCTGTGATCAGAAGAAGATGGACCCTCACACAGTATGTCAAAAGCAGAAAGGAACGTTATGTAAAAGCTGACATTCCTTCTTACAGAGCTGCTGCCCAGAGAAGGAAGCAACAACTCAACACGCCAGGCACCGCTACACATACAAGCCGCCTCCTCTTTTTTATGAGGTCATGACAGGAAACTCTTTGAAATACAAGATGCAGCATTTACTGAAGCCCAAATAAATCACTCTCTTTGCCGTTTTGACTGCGCAGTCCCCCAAACACAACTGCCCATCTCAACGTTCAGTATCCAGAAGCTGCCTCTCAAGGTTTAAATTTCCAGCACGGAAATGGAGAGATTCCTAACCCCGCTGTATCCACCCCCCCAGCCCCACAAATCCCAGGCACATAGACAAACCCCCTCTCCCTTACAGAAATAAAATCCTTCTTTTGCCATTATGGTCTCAAGTAATATAACCTCTTTCAACAAACCAGCAGTTATTTTAGCCCACCCTCCCCCCCACCTTTATGTTGAAGGGAAAACTGACAACGACCTGTGAAAAATGACAGTCTATATCCCCACTGCTTTTCAATAAAAGGACCTACCCGCACTCTCTACACAAAAGAGATAGTAAATGTAGGAACCGAACAGCAGCAGAGAACTAAACTCTTGTGCAAGCGTAAGACTGGTCAAGGTGTAGATGCTTTTCTTCCCTCCAGCAACACAAATAACAGATTATAAATCTAGTCGTACCTACCATAACCATTCTTATTGGCAAATATTGGGTCTCCCAGAGCTTCGACTCTTCTCTTAAAATTTGCAAAGGTTTCAGAATATATTTTTTAGATGACTACTATTGTTATATATATTTAAAGATCCACAAAACACAGTGCGGATGATTATAAAGTAAATCAATTATTTTGGGAGGGAGAATGGGGGAGAGAAAGAAAAATAAAGAAAAGAAAAGGAGCAGTGAGCTGAAACCCCCGATTCTAGGATGTAGATAAGAACAACTGAACAGAGCCTTGCTGAAATTGGCTCGAAGCTTCCCCTTTTTACATCCATTTATGGGACCATCTGTCAGCTGAAGCCAGGATCTGATTGGCTGGGGAAACGAAGGGAGGCGTTGCAACATCAGGTGCTATTTAAATTAGCTACTGCCAGATTGACGATGTTAATGATTTGGTGACCTCTACAACAACAGAGACCAGATTTCTGAACTGCTTCTTGTGTCTGGTAATTAAGGCCCGGCTGAAGCAACAACAGCCATACTTGTATTTTTACCTTTTCCCTCCTCCCCGCTCAAAAGTACTGTAACAACTGCAGGTCACTGGAGGCTTACAAACCTTAACAGTGGGAGTGTCCTCCCTTTCTCCTGTCCGGAGGGCTGAACCATCCCACCCTTCTGATGGAGGGCTTTTCCAGTGTAGGGTATTTTCAACCACCTTATCTTTCCCGACAGTTGCTTTCTAGCGAAATACATATTTAATGATCTGCCTCTAGGCTTAAAGATACAACAAAAGCACTTTAATGTGCTAATTTATCTACACTTTAACTTTATTATTTCCCAATATTGCTGATTTTTAGTAAGTAGTGCTCCTTCTGCAGCTAACATGACCAACCTATCAAAAGCATGCAAGTTGGAGGTTAAGCTTGTTCCAAGAACTGGGTTCATACAAGTTTGCCTCAGAAAACTATTTCCTAATAAACAAAAAAGAAAAAAAATATGGAGGGTGGAGGGGGGCAGCTGTCAGCCTCTACCTTTCTGCCTTCTGTCTAAGCTTTTCAAAACAGAGAATGATGAATGATTTATTTAAATGAATTTATTTTTCAATTTGGATAGGGGCATGATCTGAATGTGTAAAAATCCATTAAAACACATTTTCCCGTTGCTTTCCCCACTGCTATAGAGGAAGGTAAAACATGCTTTTTGACAAGAAAAAAATTTGACAACACTCTGGTTTCATAACCTATGCAGAGTGCCCATTTTGCTTAACTAAACAAGTTATTTTACTTCTGTCCTTCAAAGGGTGTCTTTTTTCCTTCGGTCTCTTAAAAGATTTACAAAGAGACATTTAGCAAGTGCGTGATAATGTACAGAGTTTGTCTGCCTGTGTTACACATTTTATAACCTCTACGCTACCAAATCTTCAGTAGTATTTTTTGTTGTTGTTGTTCTGGTCTGGGTTTTTTAAGTGGCTTGCCTGAGAAGTTCTTGCCTCAAACCTATGCAAAAGGCTACCTTATCATTATTTCTTTAATTCACAATTTAATCCGTTTGTTCCTCAATAAATACACAGAGGTAACAGACATTACCAAAGACATAATTCAGTGTAGTCTTTAATCTCTAGCTGGAGTTGACAATAAGATAGAACTAGGCAGAGTAGAAATACGGGCTGAAAAATATGTTACACTTCTGGGCTTCAAAGTCCAAGAATAAAATGGCTCTGTGAACAATTATTAGAAAGGGATACAACTTTACATTTTTAAAGATTAGAACTATTCCCTCCAAGCTATTGTTTCAAGAACACACATACATAAACACTCACACACACACACATACATATATATATACACACTTTAAAAAATACAGATACACCACAAAATAACATGTGCTAGGTATACTGCATGAACTGTTAGACTTGAATATAAATAAATTTACCTAGTAAAAATGAAAATACATGAAATAGAAAAGTAAAAAATGTTAAAATTGTAATCCCTTCAAGTGGAACAATATTGAATGAAGTACACTTTTAAAAAGATTTTTTTTAGCAAATGTATATAAAGTTCTACGAGTCATAACAGTACGACAGTATCTGTTGAACTGTGTACTGAGGATGAATTCCTCGGTTAAGTGTTCTGAATGGCTCAACATAGACACATAGGATAGGCACATGTCCTCCAGATTAACAACAGAAACTCTGAGTGAGATCTCACCAATGTGACAATACTGTGAGAAGTAAACATTAAGACAACACTGACAAATACACAAATTAAATCAGCTTACTTGGAACAGAATATTTACCTAGTATTTCTCTGGAGGTTATAAAAGATGGAATTTTTAAAAAATCCTTTTCTCCTATCTACACTAACCTCTGCACACTTAGTGAACCATAAGTTAACATTAGGCACATAAAAAGATATTCTGGCCACTTTTCCAAAATAGTAACTGTATTAATTTACAGTATTAATAAACTCGCTGGTTTTCTTAGGCTAAAAAAAAATCCATGCACTTTGTATATCGATCACTTCTCCAAAAACCTCCACTCTAAAGTCTTTCAACAGAATCCTCAAACAAATGCACAAATGTCCTCAGAGGCCTTTTCTCTAAAGACAAAGGCAGAATCCTATTGTTGGGAAAAGTCAACCTTATTATCGCATTTCCAATAGTATCATTCATCTTTCGGAGTGAGGGGCTGACCGCCACATCAGTGGTGTGACATTTGTAAAGCAACAGATTCTCAATATATTATCTCAAGAATCAGGCAGGCGACTCTCCCAGTCATGCATGATTTTTTTTTTTTTTTTTTCCGCCACAATCCTCCACCACCACAGAAAGAAACTTGTCTCACTCAAGCAGCTGAGGCAACCTAAAAATGATATCCCAGCACCGTGGGGCTGCCAGTGTTGCTGTATCCCTCTTACCATAAATGAGCAGTTTCTTGACTCATTAGTAACAATTTCCCTTAAAAGAAGTAATCTCATATCAGTCAGCCCCTCGCCACCATGCACACATCCCAAAGGTTGCAGATAGCTCAGCATCAGTCGCCGGCAGCCAGCTTTCCCACACAGAGTCCAGATGGACTGTACCAGAAGCCAATTCAGCGTTAATAACTACCTACTCCGCGCAGTGGAGAAGCCTTACGTGGCACAATGGGCTATAGGAAACAGCAGCCGGCTGAAACTGCAAATAAAAAAAGACAACCAAATTCTCCAAAAGCACCGAAAGGAAGGAACAGAAATGGAAGCGTGAATTGTATTTCCTTGACTTCCATGAGGGGGAAAAAAAATCCTTCATAAACATAGGGGGGGAAAATGAAGGGGGTGGGGGTGGGGGAAAACAGATGCTGCCCAGAAAAAAGTGACAAAATATTACCTCATTACTTAACAAAGCAGCATTAAGCGTCCTGCTGATTTCAAACATCTTGCCACAGATTTTGTTTTAAGAGAAACAGATAGAATCCTTTGCAAAGCACTCCGTCTGCAAAGGGTTCTTCAATTTTCTTGCGCGCCACGGAACAGTCAATATATTATTTCCCTAGAGTTCGCACATTAAAACCTCTAGTCAGTGAGCTGAATTTTCCCCTTATCTCACACACAGTAGACTCCTGTTATATGTACTGCTCTCTTTTGCAAGAGCAGCCTGCCCCAAACATGGCTGGTGTTTAAACTACTCTTTAAAGTAACAGTTCACTATATAACCACCAGGTGGGTAGAGTGCACAGATTCAAATGAACCGTCTTAAAAGATACGCTGTTCCCCTCCTCCCCTTGGAACAGCTTTTGGATGTAGGATGGGACTTGAGAAATGCCAGCATCCTAACACGCAAGATTGTCTCTCACCGTGATCTTGTCAAAATAAATAAATAAAATTGCTTCTCCTGACTCAAAGTCAGGAGACAGAACAAAACATTGCCACCGATTCTATTAAGAACTGTGAAGAATGAAACACAAACAAGCTTCATTTCATTCAGCAGAGGATGGTCGACATGGAACAAGGTGGGGGGGGGGACTAAAAAAAAAACCTAAGGAAATATTTTCCTGTAGCAAAACCCAGAAAAAGTACTTACCCATGTAATGAAAACCCAATTCCAAAGTATGTGTGTGTATGAAGACTACACAAGCTGGAGGCAAGAGGTAAAGGCTGCAACTTTTCTTCTGAGTAGTACATTAGCTTTATTTGATACAGGAAATAACCAAAAGCTTCAAAACAAAGGCACTGAAAAATAACCCTTAAATCTTAAATAACCCTTTGAAAAACACAATTATATGAATGTGATGAATAACCACAAGAACAATTCAGGCACACAGCTCTACTCATCACTGTTCTTTTCCCCTAAGGTCTGCCTTGAAGTGGGACATTTCTGTGTGCGATTTTGGATGTGCATCTGCCTTGGCCTCTCCTTTGTATCAGTCTATCCCAATTAATCTGCTCTTCTGTCAAGAAGAAAATATAATGTCCAAGTTGAAAGCTCCAAGTGATAGAGGGGAGATGTTCAAAGAATGTAGAACTGAACAAAAATAAATTATATCACTTACATTATTGTATGGCCTGATTTTAAGAAAGATCTTATTATTTATAAAGCATGCGTGCACTGTTCTATGCTCCCATGTGTCTAAAACA